TCCCCTCTACTGGTTGATGTTATAATAATCAGTCTTTTCTGTTACTTGTTTTTTGATAGTGATAAGCTGCTGTCATCAGATGCTTCTTGTACTGTCTTTCCCTCTTCACACTGCACAGAAGAGGAACCGGCAGCAAGGTTCAACACTTTTCTTCCATCAAGACTCTGAAGACCATTACTCTTTGTCCACAGGTTTAATGATGTAGAAAGTGTGAAACTGAAACAAACATAACACAATTACAATTACAGTATATTCTTTAAATCTTACATATACACTGTACCTACAAGTCTACAATAATCTAAATCAACGTAGCGTAGCACTTTAGCTGCAAGAATAAGCATTAGCCGTGCTCTAAACATGTGGCTTCAACAACGTATCAAAGTTACACATTAAACTTCCCTCATGTCACAAAATACAACCACAGAACTACAGATAAGTATCAAATAAACAATATACATACAGACGATGCTCCAAAAGACGAAGGATTGAGGGCAGATGCATGTGGATTCATGGCAGTCTCCTTGGCCATGTGCAAACTTCACTAAACCTTACTACTTCCTGCTTCATGTGATGTCACCAGGTATCAGAACTATTAAAGGGACAGCTGCACTAACACTATCAGCACACTCCCCGCCTGGCATGATAGAATGCCACAACTAACATACAATACAGAACAGTTATACATGGTTATATATGTATATAGATATAGAGTAACAGTTCAGTCTTTGTCTGGATGTAACAGAAGAATGAGCTCCGACACAGGTCTCAAAAATACTTTTGTCCCATCTTGCCTGGATACCTTCACCTCCGCTGTGCGGACCTTATTGTCCTGGCTAGGGAAGACTTGGGTGATTACTCCAAGAGGCCATTCATTTCTCTTGAGCTGCTGATCTCTGAGAAGTACAATGCTCCCAGGCTCCAGATTGGGTTGACTGTCCTGCCACTTTCTTCTTGGCTGCAGTGAAGAAAGATACTGTCGTCTCCATTTGCTCCAGAAAGTCTGGGCCAGATGCTGCACCTGACGCCATTGTTGTTTACACATATCTTTGACATTGGAGTCTTCAGGTGGAGCTGATGGAGTGCCCATCTTCTGAGTTAAGAGAGTGGCTGGGGTTAGTAGAACTGGGTCACTTGGATCAGTAGATACTGGTATGAGAGGCCTGGCATTGATAATTGCCACCACTTCTGCCATCAGCGTAGTAAGGACCTCATGCGTCAAGTTTGATGTCTCAAGATGCAGGAACATTGAATTGAGGATTCTTATGGCTATTCGTATCATCCTCTCCCATGCGCCACCCATGTGAGACGCATGTGGAGGGTTAAAGACCCATGCACAACCTTTTCCAGCTAGGTACTTCTCAACAGACGTGGAATCAATATTGGATGGAATCTTTAGTTCAGCTGACGCACCCACGAAGTTTGTGCCTCTGTCCGAACCTATTTGTTTCACAGGACCTCGAATAGCTAGAAACCTCCTGAGGGCATTGATGAAGCATGAGGTGTCCAGAGATTCTATGACCTCTTTGTGGACTGCTCTAATGGCCATGCAAGTGAATATAACTGCCCATCTCTTACTATGGGCGAGACCACCTCTTGTACGCCGTGCAACAACACTCCATGGGCCAAACACGTCCAGTCCAACGTAGGTAAATGGAGGTTCCATAGAGAGGCGATCTGATGGCAGGTCAGCCATCTTTTGTTGTTCAGGGAGGCCGCGGAGCTTTCGACATGTGACACAATGGTGGATGACAGTGCTCACCAATCTCTTCATACCTATTATCCAGTAGCCTGCTGCACGGATGGCACCCTCTGTGAAGTGGCGTCCCTGGTGCAGGGTTTGTTCATGGAAATGTCTGGCCAGCAATGTTGCAATATGGTACTTACAAGGAATGATCTTAGGGTTCTTTTCTTCATGAGGAACCTCTCCATGTCTTATCCGACCACCAACTCTGAGGACGTTGTGTGCGTCAATGAAGGGATCCAGGGTCCTAAGAGGACTCCCTTGAGGGATCACCTTATTCTTTTTGAGACAGGTCAACTCTTCAGCATATGCCTCTTCCTGCACAGTTTGAATAATAACGTGCTCTGATAAACTGAGTTGATCAGGTGTACCTGCTTTCTGACAGAAATGCCACCCCTTGCATTGCATGGTCCCTTTGACCTTACGTGTGTGAAAGCTGTTCACAATGTGAAGGAGATTAGCAATGGCACGTTTCAAAGCTTGCCAGGAAGAAAATTTGGAGAAACGGTGAGACCCAAGTAGTGTGCAAGAAGCCTGTGTTTGCAAAGTAGAGATTTGCGGGTGGATCTCAGCGTCCATGTTTGCATCCACAAGCTCAAAGGAGTCTGGTTCTAGAGAATCTTGCATGGGCTCAGTCAGAAAAGGAGGTCCAGTGAGCCAAGAGGTATCTGAGAGAAAGGCACCCGGTACAGACCTTGTCGCACAGTCTGCTGGATTTTCCCCTGTAGACACGTACTTCCACTGCTTAGGATGAGAGGACCTTCTGATGCGGACAATACGATTGCTGACATACACATAAAAGCGTCTTGTCTCATTATTTATGTATCCGAGCACTACTTTGCTATCAGTGTAGAAGGTGATAGCATCGATGTGCATGTCAAGCTCTGATGATATGAAATCTGCTAACTCCACGGCCAGTACAGCAGCACAAAGCTCAAGTCTGGGGATTGTGTGTTCAGGTCTGGGTGCCAGCTTCGCCTTACCCATAACAAAGCCAGTATGAGTATTCCCTGCTTCGTCCACCACCCTGAGATAGGCAACTGCTGCAATAGCCATTGTTGACGCATCAGAAAAGACAAACAGTTCTCTCTTAGAATGTGCTTCCCTTGAATGGTCACAGGAGCCACAAATCCCAAGGGGTCATACACGCTATTTACCACTAATAGGATGCCTCGGTGTGTGAAAGGCTTCTCTTCTTTGTTGACTTTAAAAACAAACATGTTGGACTCCAAGTTCCAATTTAGTCCCAAGCTGCGCTGTACAGGTAGAATATCTGAGCTCAGATCCAAATCCTTCAAGTCATTTGTGCGATCTTCAGGTGGGAAAGCCTCCATGACCTCTTTGCTGTTAGAGGCGATTTTGTGGAGCCTCAGGTTGGAGTTTGCCAGAACATCCTGAGTTTTCTTCAACAGACAGACAGCACTTTTTACACTTGAAAAAGATTTAAGTGCATCATCGACATAAAAGTCATGGCAAACAAACTGTTTCACCTCGGGGTCATGATGTGGTCCTCCATCCATCGTGGACTGCCTGAGGCAGTAAATGGCAACCGCTGGACTAGGACTATTACCGAACACATGTACAGTCATGCGGTACTCAATGACATCCTGTGTAGGACTGTTGTCTCTGAACCAGAAGAACCGTAGGAAGTTACGATCTTCTTCTCTCACAAGAAAGGAATGAAACATCTGCTTGATGTCTGCAGTTACTGCAATGGCATCCTTGCGAAACCTCATCAGAACTCCCAGAAGTAGGTTGTTGAGGTCAGGTCCTTTCAAGAGAACATCATTCAGAGACACTCCCTCATGCTGTGCACTTGAGTCAAAAACAACACGGATGTTGCCAGGCTTCTTTGGGTGGTACACTCCAAAAATGGGTAAATACCATCGTTCCTGGTTTGGAGTGAGAGGAGGAGCAACTTCAGCATGACCATTTTCGAATATTTTCCCCATGAATGAGAAGAAATGTTGGGACATCTCAGGTTTCCTTGCTAAGTTGCGTTTGAGGGAGCTGAAGCGGTTAAGAGCTTGCTGTCTGTTATCAGGGAGGTGTTGTCTTGGCTGCCTAAATGGCAAAGGAGCTACCCAGCTGTTACTGGCATCCTTCTTGAGCTCTCGTTTCATTATTGCCATGAAGGCAAGATCTTCAAACAATGGTGCTGGTTTATTATCCTCTCGGGTAAACTGGAACACTGTGCAGCCTAGCCCACCATCTTCTACATCATAGGCACACTTTGAATGTTCGGGACCGTATCTCTCTTTAACCTGGAGAACACTCGGACATGGTTCAAAAATAGTAGGACGAGACTGTTCAAGAGCATTGGTGAAGTACGTGTTCACACTGCGTGGCTTATGAACACGTCCCAAACAGACATTGCCCACAATCACCCATCCCAACTCAAGTTTCTGAGCATAGGGGGCATCAGGGGGGCCATTGATGTATTTGTGAACCTTATGAAGTCTAATGACGTCACGTCCAAGTAAGAGCATAATGGGAACATCAGGTTCAAACTCTGGAATAAGGTGAGCAACTGGTTTTAGATGATCATGAGGAGAGCAGCACTTGGTGATGGAATCTCTGCTCTGTTGTCTGGTATCTCACTACACTCCAACAGGCCTGGTAGTAGCTGAACTGTTTTACAATCCATTGACTCTATACAGAAGCCTGAAGCTATCCTCCCCATGTTCTCAGTCACACCAGAGCATGTCTTCAGTGTGTAAGATGCAGTAGGGCATTGCAAGTCAAACTTCTCAAAGAAATCTGAGTGAGCCAAAGATCTATTACTCTGCTCATCTATAATAACGTAGGCCTTTATGGCCTTTTCACGTTCTCCTTTAGGATAGACTCTGGCCAGGCAGATCTTGGAGCAGTTCTTAACAGTGCGGTCCTCTCCACAGATCTCGATACACTGAGCAGTAACTTCTGAAGTTTGTGTGGGTTCTGGCTCCCCGCCATGCTCCAAAGGCATGCTTATGCTCTTTATCCACGGTGCCTGACCTGGATGTAGAGCAGATGGGTGTCTATCACTGTTGCATTCAGTGCACTTAATGATACTTTGGCATTCCCTCGCGGTGTGCGTTGAGGAGTTGCAACACTTAAAACAGATGCCATTCTCCCTGAGAAAGTTCATTCTTTCTTCGAAGTGTTTCTCTCGAAAGGCACGACACTTTTGTAATGTGTGATGTTTCTTATGTATAGGACATCTCCTATCTGGATCCTCCACGTTCTTTTTGTTTCTGTTGTCTGAGCGAGCAGCAGGTGACACTTACGTTTTGTTGACTAAAATCTCCCTTTGTCTACTGTTTTTCCAAGGAGGTTTTTCCATTTTAACCATCTCGGTTTGAGAAACAAAGTTGAAACTTGGATCATTCCTCATCTGTGCTTGCTGGTAGATGAAGGAAACGAACACTGAGAATGGGGGGAATGTTACACAATGTGATTGTTTGTAACTGGATCCATGAGAAAGCCATTTTTCTTGTATACCATATGGTAATTTTTGGGCTATTGCATTTACACCTCTGGGGGTATCAAGGCAGATCTCCCTCGGCCTTGGCGGCATCTAGTTCCATCAGTAAATCACTGAGGTCCCGGAGCTTGGAGTGGTCTTTATTGCCAATTTTGGGGAAACTATCCAGTTTTTGGAACAAAGCTTTCTCAATAGCTTCAGATGAACCGTAAGAAGCATCTAGTCGGTTCCAGATCATGCTCAGCCCTTTAGCTGGTTGATTTATGTGGATGGACCTAATACGCTTTGCATGCTCAGCTGATTCACTTCCCAGCCATTTGACAAGAAGATCCATTTCTTCATCTCTTGTTAGATTCAAGTCTTTCACCGCATTCTGGAATGAATGTCGCCAGGCCCTGTAGTTTTCCGGTCTATCGTTAAATTGTAGTAGACCACTTGTAACGAGCTCACGTCGTGCTAGAAATCTGACAAAGTCTGTCACATGTGGATCAGTGGAGTAACTAGGCCGCTGAGAGTTACCATATGGGTGATGGGGAAGAGCTTCCATGGCGCTGTTGGTCTTCCAGGGTGGCTGATGTGCAGTTACACTGCATGAAGGCCTTAGAAAATCTTCATAATCATTTCCTTTGAGTACGCCGTAGTAGTGGTGCTCTGTCTGTTGAGCTGAGTTGCGATTCACATCTGATGTGACAAAGGGATTAAGGCTATTTTGTTTACGTGGAGGATGCAGTGGAGTATCAAAGACAGTAATAGCAGCGTCGGGGGGACCATCACTCAGCGAATTGAGACGTGGCATGCAAAGGTTCCTCAGGAAGCGGCTGCTGTGTCTCGTCCTGCAAGAGTAAATCCTCCTGTGATGCCATCTGGATGTCTTTTGATACTTTGGCTTGTTTCTCCACATACTCTTTTGTACGCTCAACAGAGTCGACTGATGTTGCAATGAGAGGAAGTTTACAACTGTGTTTTCCTTCACTAACGCCTACCGCTGCTTCTAAAGCTTCTGCCTTTGCTACAGCTGCAGCAGTTTCCTTTGCTGTGGTCAGCATTTCTATAGAAGCTTCCAGACGAACCTTTTCCATTTTTAACTTCATTTCTTGCTCTGCAAACGCTAAACGTGCCTTTGCTGCTTCAGCATTAGCCCTAGCTCTTGCAGCTGCAGTGCTGGTAGCCGATTCATGAGAACGTGTGGTTGACATAGAAGCATAAGACCGTGTCTTCACTGACGATGGCTTTGAATCCATAGTGTAGGCAAGTAGAGGCTATGTAGCGTGATAGCAGTAGCTGTTGTCACATGCACTGTGTTACCTTGTCTGTAACTCAACGTCTTTTCACTGTACTGTCTTTCCCTCTTCACACTGCACAGAAGAGGAACTGGCAGCAAGGTTCAACACTTTTCTTCCATCAAGACTCTGAAGACCATTACTCTTTGTCCACAGGTTTAATGATGTAGAAAGTGTGAAACTGAAACAAACATAACACAATTACAATTACAGCATATTCTTTAAATCTTACATATACACTGTACCTACAAGTCTACAATAATCTAAATCAACGTAGCGTAGCACTTTAGCTGCAAGAATAAGCATTAGCCGTGCTCTAAACATGTGGCTTCAACAACGTATCAAAGTTACACATTAAACTTCCCTCATGTCACAAAATACAACCACAGAACTACAGATAAGTATCAAATAAACAATATACATACAGACGATGCTCCAAAAGACGAAGGATTGAGGGCAGATGCATGTGGATTCATGGCAGTCTCCTTGGCCATGTGCAAACTTCACTAAACCTTACTACTTCCTGCTTCATGTGATGTCACCAGGTATCAGAACTATTAAAGGGACAGCTGCACTAACACTATCAGCACACTTCTTATTAGATGTTGGATTAATTGATACACATATGAGGATTTATTTATAGATATACAATGCAATACAATACAATACAATGCAATACAATATATATATATAGCTATATATATCTATATCTATATCTATATATCTTTTATATATATATATATATATATATATATATAGAATATATATATAATATAGAGAGTAGATAAGTTTCTTTAGTATATAGGATATTATATATATATATATATATATATTATATATATATATATATATATATGTATATATATATATATATATATATATATATATATATATATATATTATATATATATAATATATATATATATATATATATATATATATGTATATATATATATATATATGAATATATATATATATATATATATGTATGTATGTATGTATATATATATATTTATATATGTATATACATATATCACTGACTTTCAGCTTGTTGTGTTTGTGGATATATGACTGACTATATATATCTTGAGCCCACATGTGGTGATTATAACATGTATAAGTGGAGAAACAGTTAAGTCCAAATATACTCTCAAAATTTAAATGATGGTATGAAAGAATGATCATCATTGTCAACTTTTATTGATGGCACCATAGCTGAGAAGAAGTGAAAAAGTACATATGTATTATATTCTTTACATAGACATAGAAGCTTTTACAAAGAGTTCTTTATGTTAAAATTCTAGAAAAATATTATACAAAGCAGATGAGCGTAAGAATATAATAATGATGACATATAGTGAAAAAGGAATTTTACAACTCCTTTGAAATTCAAAAACAAGCAGCCTGAATGCACAGCTGTGAATCAAAGAAACCAACAGCAAGTCTGCATAGTACAACTGCATCAGTCACATATCTGAATCATACTTAAGGTAGTAAAAAGCCCATAAGCAATTTCACATATGCTTTACAGCTTAATTATTTCGTTTCTTATACCTCAGTATTCAAATCTGAACTCTCTTGGTTCTGACTGGTGTCCACTGACTTTGTGTAAGTGTAATTGCGTGTCTCCTCTTCCTGGAAGGCACTCTCCAGCACAATCAGGATGGATTTGCGGACTTTATCTTTAAAATCTTGGCCCATGAACACATACAGCAGTGGATTCAAGCAGCTGTTGAGAAAGGCTAGGCTGGTGGCTATCGGGAACCCAATTGTGATGATATCATCTAACATCTCACTTGAATATTCTGGCATGTGATATGCCATCTCAATTAGACCCATGATGTGAAAGGGAGCCCAGCACAGAAAGAAAGTGATGATAATGGCAGCGATGATCTTAAAGGTGCGACTTGACTGATTGGCCAGTGTGCGGTTTCTTCTGAGACGATGGATTATAACAGCATAACACAAGACAATGAAAGTGAAAGGCACAGCAAATCCTAGGAGGACGCGTGTGATAGTCATGGCCTGATGACGAAATTCCCTTAACTTTTTCACCGATGGTGTTTCATAGTCATCAGAAAGAGCATAGTTGTCAAAGCAAATCATTTTGTTAGAGTCTTGTTCAGTGTCCCTGAAGATGAAGTATGGAGCACTGAGAATCAAAGCCACCACCCAAACACACAGACTCACATAGGATGCTCTGCGTACATTTCGGTGGTTCTGAGCCCAGACAGGCCACACCACAGACACACATCTGTCCACACTGATCACCACCAGAATGTAGACACTGGCAAACATGTTCAGAAAGCTGATAGTGGTGTTCAGCTTGCACATGAACTTGCCAAAAGGCCAGTGGAAATCCAAAGCTGTGTAAGTCACACTCAGGGGCAAAAACGCAGTGAAGATGAAGTCAGCCACAGCAAGGTTGAGGTACCAAACTATGTTAACAGTTTTCTTCATCTTGAACCCGGTCACCCAGATAACCACTCCATTCCCGAGCACACCGAGGACAAAAGCCAGGGAATAAATTATGAGAGACATGATGTTAAGCCCACCATTACTGTCACTATTCTTTGAGCCATTTCCATTAGGTGCAGCAGTTGTATTGATTGGATTGAAAGAGTTAGTGGTCATCTCCCTCACTGACTTTAGACCTGCAAAGAAAAACAATAAGTAAAAAGTTCAGCTCCCAGTCAAAGTTAATAGGAAACTGAAACTGAAGCTATGGTGACATTCAGTCTAAGGCAGTATGTCAGCATAGCTCCCAGACAATTAGACAAACATGAAAGGACATTATCTCTACATTTGAAATCCTCAAAAAAGCACACCTTTTCTGTAATCAAGTGTTGTAAGTAAAGTTGTAAAGTGTGATTTCGTTTTTCTTCTTTTCTCTGCTGCACCCTTTAAGGGTCACCAGAGTGGATCATTTGCCTTCGTGTGACACTATCCCACATAGCAGCAGTGTTGGGCAAGTTACTTTGAAAAAGAAATTAATTATAGTTACTAGTTACTTCTTCAAAAAAGTAACTGAGTTAGTAACTGAGTTACAAGATTCTAAAAGAAATTAATTACTTGAAAAGTAACTATCGCGTTACTTTAAAAAAAAAAAAAGTTGGGTTCCGGGTTTTATTTGCCATTTTTAACTAATTTTCATGTTTCCTCTACATTTCACCTTTAAAAACTATTTACTTTACCTTGTTTGGTATCATCCTTTTCAGCACAACCTCATGTGTCTGAATTTACAGTTATGTTTTCATTTTGACATACTGTATTAACACAATTGATCTAAATTGAGACAAAAAGCATAAAATCAGAGTAGGAAAAGTTATATTTTTTACTGTAAATAACCATTTCAAACTATTTACATAACAATCAGCTGTTCTGCATTCAATAAGATGCCACACAAATTATTTGTGCCACTCCAAATATTTCTGTCCACTATAAAGGAGAACATCACAGCCTGATACCTGCAGGTCTGACAGCAGGAGGTGTATCACTGCTGGTTTCTATCTGGAGACAGCAGTCACCTCATTGTTCGGACATACAACACAAAACTATCCACAACACTACACAAGACAACACACTGATTACACACTGGCTACACACTCCAAACACGCTAAACGTCACAAATCTCTCACATCTCAAAACTCGCTCTCTCTTTTTCTGCTCTCTCTCTCTCACTCCTAAAACTTCCCCCTCTTCCTAAACAACCAAATGTCATTTTGCCATATCATTTTTGATTGGTTGACGTGGTACATTTTCCCTCCAACACAAAGGGCTGTTTTTGTCTTGTTTTTTTACATTTTTGGTCATAAACAGAGAGTGCTTGCTAGCACTGTCCTTAGACAGTAAACGTGACAAAAGTATTCAGGAAAAAACAAGCATATATATTGTTTATCCCCCATCTTACACTTCCTTTGTCCAATATATATCCATTATCCCTCTGCACATGTCAAAACCATCACAGTCTTGCCTCTAATGTTCACCTGAGGTGTTCCTCTGAAGGACTCATTTCTAATTTATGTACTCAAAATGGTATTGTTTTTGCCACCCCATCTGAATCCCATGTCACTCAGAAGCCACACTAACAAAATTTCTCTAGATTTCCCTGCTACTCTGTCAATACCGTCACCTCTTCAGGTTCTCTTCCACCTGCTCAGTCCTCTCACTAAAGAACACAATGTCATCATAGTCCACAAAGACGCCTTGTTGACCTCATCTGTCAACCTAATGTTGCAAACAAGAAGGGGCTCAGAGCCGATCCCTGATGTAATCCCACCCTCACCTTGGATCCATCTGCCACTCCTACTGTCTCGCTGTTCTCATACATGTCCAGCACCACCATCACATACTTCTCTGCTGCTCCTGTATGAATTCTGACCTTCTTTATACTTTGCATCTACATTCCCAAGACAAACATTACATCTGCAGTGCTCTTTCTTAGCATGAAGCCATAATGCTGCTTATCAAACATCGCCTTCTTTCTTAACCTGACTTCAGCAACTCTTTCACATATCCTCATGGTATGGCAACAACTTTATCCCTCTGTAGTTTAGATACAGCTTTGCACATCACCCCTGTTCTTGAAAACTACCACAAGTCCTGTGAAATAACACTAAATTAGCGTTTTTACATCATGTGACAGTGTAAGAAAATGAATTTCCTGTTTTTTTTATGCACATATACATATTTAGAGCAATATTCCTGGGAAATCTTTCATGCTTGGTGAAAGATGAAGTAAATACCTTGTGAACTGTCTTGTTGGCTGTTAATGAATCCTCTGCAGAAGAATGTTTGATCCAACTCTGACAGCTTAGCTGAGACTCGTGTGGGGTGTATGTCGCTGCTGATAAACATGCAAATCCACAGGAAGTTTGTAAAAGTTAAAACATGAGAGAGCATTCTATGATGGTTGGGAGCATGAGGGTTTGCAATGCCCTCATGCAAAATTCAAAATTTGGACTGCAACATATTGCATCAAGAATGCAGCATTATTTTTCTAAAAGCAAAAGACATGTAATATTAGAACATATATATTCTTGTGAGAGGGCCACAGTGTAACACGGCTAACAGCTGGCTGTTTTGCTATTTAACACCATTATCTTTCTGTTGCAACCTTTGGTTTGGTGAGTATCAAGTCATGAAATATTCTGAGGACAACCAACCTGTTTCCATAATCAGTAGCATATAATATAATTCAGTAAATAAAAGCAAAATATTCACTTTCTAACTTATTGTCCCTATGCCTTGGGTGTTTATTTTGTTTTTGTTTTTATTTGCAAAAAACATAAAAAAATACTTTATGTTCATGATTAGTGATTTTTAAAGTTCTTCAGGTTTATAGAAAAATATCTGATGTATCTGGAGTTCTACAAATATGTTATTTAGTAATTTAGCAAAGCTCTTTTTTTGTGGATGAATTCACTAAAGATTAATGAAACAGTTAATGGATGATATGTCACCCCTTATAAAGAACTAGATCTACAGGAAGTTTGCACAACATTTAAAATGAGAATGTTTCTATTCCTTTTCAGTGATGCAGTATGGGGCTCTTATCAGCATCCGGTTTTGAAATCTTGATAAAATACTTTTTACGCTGAAGGCCAGCTGTCCTTTTCTTGTGTCTGCACAATATTCTCACGAAAAAAAAAAAAAAACTCCATGTGGAAATGTAACTAATATGTCAACTTCTCAAGGTATAGCAGCTGAAACAGCATCTGTAACAACAGAGGATAATTTATTTAGGGTCTGACAGCAGTTTAGCATCTGTGTCCAGATGCTCATACCTTTTTTCTGGACTGTACATTCTTAACAGCTTCAGATCATCATCATCATCATCATCATCACCCTTCTTACATCTGCCATGCATTTGGTATTTAAAGGAAACTTAACTCAGTCTAACAATTACCAAAATTTGACCCTTTGAGCGAGTATGGTTAAATCTGATTTTCTGTTCCTTTTAACTTATGATCAGAATTGAGACAGAGAATTTTTTTTGCATCAGTTACAACACCTCTACTGATGTTGTATTACAACTCATTTCTGCTTAACCCTGAAATATGTGCATTGAGTCCTTTTCCACTCCATGAAAAACAAAACTATAATGTCTTCATGGCAAGAGGATGTCACTAAATACTCCTTGAAATAAAAATGTAGAAGCTAACCAGCAAACCTAAAAAAAAAAAAAGAAAGTGTATCTATATAGAGTGCTATATGAAATGTATCTGTGAGTACTTTGAGCCAAACACTCAGTGGTCCAGAAGAAGATGGAGCAGCTGCTGCTCGCCCTCCGACATGATAGCAGGACAGCATTACACTACTTGTCTTGAAGACCCAAAAGGAAAGTCTCCTCACTAGCAGGAGATTTAATAATAGTGTCATTAAGGTGTATCAGGTGTAAAATTTACACTGTTGGCTCACACAAGCTCTGCCAAAGCTCCAGACCACATGAGCTCATAGCCCATGAAACAGTAAGGCATGAAACAGTTATAAATAGACAATATAATAATACTTGAAAGTAAAAGTAGAGCATATTTTCTGGAACTGCAGTTTCATTACAACATGACACAGTTATACAAATAATAATAATAATAATAATAATAATAATAATAATAATAATAATAATAATAATGAAGCGCACTCTCTGGACTATTCTCTTTTAAGTGAATAGTATTGCATTTGGTATATAACGTAAGTAATAAATAATAGGTGCTGAATTTTGCTTCTAATCTATGGAAGAAAAACATTCACTGATTCTAATCAACAAGAATGATTCCCCTGCCACCTACAGCTCAGTTTGAGGTATATTGTATTGATATCCCTGGAGCTACAAAGGAGTTGATTCTATGTGAGTTTGCAGTTTAACTTTGAGTGGGACATTTACATGATAATCCGTCCATCCATTTTCTTAACCAGTTCTCAATCAGTGGACAAAGAAAGAAATGAAGAAAGAATATATATATATTTTCCATAAATCATGAAGGTTGGGGTTAGGATTTAGAGCTACAGTTAAGGTCATCGCTGATGTTGACTTAGATGTCAGAGGGTTGACCTTTGCCTATCTCCATTTTATTAACTGAATAATAGTCTTTGACACCTGATTTCTATGAGACTCAGACCAAAAGTGCTTTTCTTTATGACGCATAAATCAGAATCAGAATCAGAATAAAGCAACTAAACTCATTTAAAAAAGATGGAAGAGTGAAGGAAAAAGAAGGAAAAAGAGGAAAATATGTAAAAGATACTAGTAGTAACTGACTCTTATTATATAAAATAGCTTATCAAACTCCATTTATTTACCAGCAGCCTGACTTCTTGACCAGAATACACTTACAGTGACAAAAAGATGGGGTTTACTGGCTGATTTGTACCCAAGCATGTTGCTGCAATTACATCATTAAAAACTGCAAATCAGCCCGTCTGTGCTCATGTCTTCTTCTCAAGACTGCTGCACTACATCAGTAAAGCAAAAGCGTAAAGAGTCCCTCTGCTGGACAGACATATACAGTGCAATGAAAAAAGCATTCGTACACTTCCTGATTTGGAAAGAAAAGCAACTGGACTTCTTTAAGTTGCTTGAAGACGTTCCACCTCTCATCCAAGAAACTTCTTCAGTTCTAAAGGGTCAAATGGTGGAGAGACCCAGATTTAAACCCAGTGGGAGTATCCTCCCAAAGAGGGATAAAGGACCCCCTGATGATCCTCTACCTAATCACACGAGCCAAGGTGTGAAAACGGGTGTTTATTGGGGTGTTTTTTGCATTCATATGTTTTAGTTACTTAAGATTACCAATTGTTCACCTAAATTTCTGTCATGAATTACTGTATTGCAGGAATTACTATACAAAAACAATACAAAAGCAGGAGCCAGGAACTAACAATCCAGGAAGGATCAGAGAAAACACAGCTTTGAGGTAGAACATGACAAAGAACAGGGAGGCTTAGACAATAAATACACAGCAGGTAATGAGGCTAAGGGAAAATAGGTGGGAAACATAACACACATGGGCAAATAGACTTAACTGTGACAGTCCTGGGTCAGTTTATCCAGTGTATATATTTTGGCCAAAGGTTTTATTTATTTAATTATTTATTATTTTTAAATATATTTTTGTTATTATTTATTTTATTTTATTTTTTTATTTATCCATTGTGATCCCTGGTTTGTTAAAGGTTTATATTCACTTCATGTGTTCTTTAGTGTTTTTAGGTTTGCTCCTAGTTCTCAGTTGGTTTAGAGTTTAGCTCTTTTCCCAGCGTTTCATCCACCGCAAAGTCCATTCACATGTCTGCGGTTTCCCTATTTAGTTCTGTCACTTCCTGTTTTATTTTGGAGGTTGTGTTCCTTTTTCATTATCTTAAATTTTGCTTCCTTTCTCTGGTCTGTTATTCTCTATTCTGTTCTATTTGTTATCTTCACTGCTGTAATCACCCTTTTAAGTATATATAGTTATTGTCTTCTCCTTGGTCTTTTTCAGAGTGTCAGTTCATTTTCCCCTCTTATTTTCCAGCTCCAGCACTCCCTTGCCTAGTATTAGTTCTCAGTTTAGGTTTCAGTTTCTTTTTTCCCTTTAGTTCTTTTTTTGTACTTTGGTCATCAGCCAGTTTTTTGTTTACTGCATCTACCTGTGAGTCTGAGTCAAAAAGCTCAAATAATCTCAAACAGCTTTATTAAACATGACAGTGAATTAGATGACCTCCACAGTCGGCAGATCGCTCCAACAGAGCACCTTTGGGTTTTACATAATGGATGTGCAACCAACAAATGTGTAGCAACTGTGTGATGCAATCATGTCAATGTCCTCCTGAGAAACAGAATATCCATTTATGTCCTATTTGAACTACCCTGTTAAGGCCTGATCTACTAAATAGAGGACATCCTGGGCTTTCCATTGACAGCTTGTGTGTTTGGGTGGCTTCTTTTAGCTCCAAAGAGGAAGGAAGTCTTAGGAAAAAGTTCAATGAGTAGATTCTTTTTGATATGGATCAAAATTTCCAATGTTTTATCCACTGCCTGACAACTTCACTGTAACACACTAAAGAGGGGAAACAGATTGGAGCCTACTGACTGATTTAAGGCCTTTAATTGTGCAAAGTGGTTTAAGGCAGTAATCACTCGATTAAAAGCTACAAATCAGTCAGCATGAGCTTATCTTTATCTTTCAACACTGCTGCGATACTTCTCATCAAAGGTATAGCAATATAATGTTATTTTAATAACTGCTATGTTTCTCAGTAGCATCCTTTAACCCTCTCAGGCTCAAATTAAACTTTTTGTTGCTAATGCACAACCAAGTCCTGCAGTGGTACTTCTGAGTAAAAAAAACCTCATAAAATATGTATGTGGGGTAATCAGGTTGTTAGTTTTTAACTGTTGCAAATCAGCAACACCTGCCTTGAGAGGGTTAAATATTCAGTAGAGGGAAATAAGTTGTTTTCTGCATTCATGTTTTGATAATGAAATGAGATGTAGGTCGACATTATCAGTGGGAAAGCATTAAAGCCAAAAATGTTTTATTGATGCAAATAATGTTGACAGAAATATTCACAATAGTAATACAATACTTATAGACATTTAAAGACAAGTAGATTTGGCCATTTGGGATTAAAAAAAATTAAAAAAATACATTTTTTTCTTATAGTGGAATCAAGATTATATAATTTTGACGACATGCTTACCAAACTCATAACATTTTTACCGATTGGATGATTATTCATTTGATAGATCGAGGACTGGCAACAAGGCTGACAACTGTTCCTTCTAGTTTAGTTGTTGAGGTAAACCTCCAAAAGGCTGATTTTATCTCTGAAATTTAAAAAAATGTAGATTTGTAGTCTTTTTGGTAACAAACAGAATTAATTAATATTTGAAGAATTATAGCAATACTTATGAAGGCCACAGACATTGACCTCTCACTCCCTATCAGCTTTCCAGTGGTTCTATAGTCAGTATGTATCCATTAGATCTGTTGTTCATTATACTCAAATAAATAAATACTAGAATAGATTTCTGTCAAATGAGAATTTGATTACAGGGTTACACATTTTACTTTCATATGTACCTAAAGGTGCCATTTGTTTTCAATATTGTGAGCCAGTTTTGTCATTTACAATCATAATTTTTATCAGTTAGTTCACTGGTTCAAAACTTTTATTTCAAACTCCACCATTTATACTGGGCAGAATCAGTTTTGTAGATTCATCTCATTTAAATTCTGTTGTATTTATGTAGTGACAAATAATAACAAGGGTCACCTCTAGGTGCTTATTTACAGGGTAAAATTTGATAGGTTAATTAACAGGACAATGTATTGTCTAGCAAGAAGCACAGTCTTTATTACTATGTCAGTGATCAGTAAAACCAGAAGTTAAGGCCTATTCTTGAACTGGTAATGTACTTTTAATCTGGTTTCTTTTATGTCTCATGCAGAGAAGAAGAAATTTACTGGAGTGTGAACAACAGAGGCTTCCTTCCTACAGATGATACATTGGTATTGCTTGTGTTGCATG